CACTTGGTAGCCCAGGCTGGCCTCGAACTCACAGAGATCCGCCTGGCTCTGCCTCCCGAGTGCTGGGATTAAAGGCGTGTGCCACCACCGCCAGGCTATAAATGCATTTTTAAATGAATGACTATTAGATATTTGCTTCAAAGCACTAGACATCATGAGTTGAAAAAAAGAAGTAAAAAGGAATAAGAACATATTAAAACCCAACCATACTCTGTGATAGAAATGCAGACAGGAGTCAGCACAGATGGGGCAGATGTGACAAGGTAGAGGAAAAGAGAAAATATTTGTACCACAATATCTAGCTGACTAGAACTAGAGGAGAGATAGCATGTCTAAACGTTCACCTTAGTGCTCTGAGCACATCTAGTTCCTTTCAGTCTAGCCCTTCACAGTGACCTGTAGAGCCCTTTAAAATCAAAGCATGACCAACCTTGACCATCTTCACTCCAGCACCTCGCAAATTTTTGGTAAGAGCAACTCTGGGGGTGTTCTACAGAGAAGATAAACAAACCATGGAATGGAGACATGATGTCATGATGAAGGACAACGCCTGGAAAGGTTATTTCTCCTCCCATAAGCTCTGTTTCCAGCCAGTGTTGACTTTCATTGGATGTGTATACAGGTGGATCCCACTCTGTTATGAGTACCTAAAGGCCAATGAACTGATACTAGGTATTTGTTTTTCCTTTGCCAGTTGCTTTGTCAGTGGCTGTTCAGATAGTGGACCTCCAAATGGGCTGAGGTGTCTATACACATAGTCTGGGAGTAAGGCTGCAAGGGGAAGGGAGTAGGTGAGAAGGGAATGGGTAGGCTGTGTGCATAAAGCACAGGCCAAACCTCCATGTTGATAGACAGATCTCCACGTTTTCTGAGAACTCTGCCTTTATACATGACCTCTCGCAAGATGAGAAGTACATCTTTCAAGAGATACAGATAGAATGTATGTTGATTTTGTTTTTACTGGTTGTTAATTTGACTTAAAACTTCCAAGTGCTTAGATTTATGAGGAGTAGGCCACCATTCTGGCACTTCAAATGTTGAAAGGTGGTCTTTTTATTAAAATAATAACAATATTATTTTTAGTAACTACTAGTGCTTAACATGGCAGTTAAACTGTTTTATGGTTGTTTTTCTGCTGATAATTTTTGCCCAAATAATTCATATATTTTTCCTGTATCATGTTGGCAAGTCAAACAATCCATCACAGAATCTTAAGGCAGCTTACTCCTCATATCCTTCCATTGAAAGTCATGGTTTCACACTCCCATCTTTTTCAACTGAAGACTCCATTATGATTGCCATTGATGTAACATGCACATTTTTACTCATGTGGGTGAATTTTTCTTTGCATCAAATATGCATCTTCATTTGGGAAGTGTTTTCTCTTTTACATTACTGCTCATTTCAATCCTGCATCTCAACCATCAGCTGCTCATGTTTGGAAAGGAAGGAGAGGCTCTTTGTTACTGTTTTGCGAAACAACAGCAACAACAAAATGGAATTTTGAAATAAGCACAGGCTGAATATACCCTATAAAATATTTACACTTGTTACTCTGATAAATTATTGGCTCCTAGCAAATCAATTATAATTTTTGTGGTTTCTTTAAAAATGGCCTAGCTGGCAATAAGAAAAATTTTAAAGTGTTGGATTCAAGGTGAACCAGTTCTCACATATGCTGTAGGTGTTACTGCTCAAAAGAGCAGTGACTTAAGAATCCCTAGGGGTTCACTTTCAATGCTATATTTCCCGTGCCTACCTTCTGAGGGACAGTTCTACTTAACTTTGGTTGTCTTTGGCATTCACAGCTGAAGAAAAGCAGCCTAATTAAAAGTCTGGCTTTTGCCGGGCGGTGGTGGCGCACGCCTTTAATCCCAGCACTCGGGAGGCAGAGGCAGGCGGATCTCTGTGAGTTTGAGGCCAGCCTGGGCTACCAAGTGAGTTCCAGGAAAGGCGCAAAGCTACACAGAGAAACCCTGTCTCGGAAAAACCAAAAAAAAAAAAAAAAAAAAAAAGTCTGGCTTTTGAGGGTAAATCTCCTACCTTGTATATTTCACTGAGCCTTGTCAATTGAAAACAAATGTAACTCTTTTGGGATAATACACTTCTTTTCTTTGGTTTTAGCATTTGCATCACATCCATGGATGCTGTGGTAAAGTATGTGGCTTTATGGGTTTATATTAATGTTTCTGCGAAGCAACAAATGGCATGTGCTGACCACCTATCGTTTTATATTTTAAAATCATCCCAACATCCAGTGTCTGCTCAGAAGGCACAGTTGTCCATTGTGAATTATAACACTTTCCTAACAAGTCTGGCTTGTAAAGTGACATGGGGCCATTTAGTGATTTTAAATTTTCCATTTAGGATCAATTCCTTCTTCAGCAGTATTTACCTTGAGGCCAAGGACACACACACACACACACACACACACACACACACACACACGGATAGGGTGGGGTGAGGCTGTCCACATTAATGCATAAATATTCTCCATCAGCATGCAGTAAGAACACAGCCTTGCTTAGATAGTATTCTCCCCCTCCTTCTCCTCATATTGGCTTATAAACCACTTATAAAAAAAAAAAAAAACATTGTTTCACAGAATAAAGGTCAGACAGAGATCAATAATTTGAGGACCCATGGGAAGAAAGAACCACTAAATCAACCTGAGGGTTTTGGAATCTGCAGTTCGTAAAATATTCAGCCTTTCAGACAGTTTTAAGAAGTTGGGAGCCTTCCAGTTTTAAGGATCTGAAAACCAGAAGATTCTGTTTTTAGCCATGAAAATCTGCATTGTTCCACCTGGTTAGGGCATATATTTTACTTAAACTAGCCACCGTTTACTGTCAAAGAAGAAAGCAGCACTGAACTTCTCAGTGGGTCCCCTGTGCCCAGACGCAACTACCCAGTTGACTGGCAAAGGGAAGTGACCACCGCTCCTATCCCACTGTTCACCCTGCTGGCAGAGCTCCAGGCCTGGTGCCAAGGCTCTGGCAGTTTTAAGGCTGTTTCCTGGCAGCCATTGGCTTTTCTACGCCATGTGACTCTGCTCCTGTCTGTCTGGATTTTGTTCTGAGTTTCCTTAGGGCGTGCTTCTGAACAGCATCAGGAACAGCAGCAAGAGCTCTGGGATTCAGCAAAGCCATGTTATCCAGGAACCTTGGATCACTGAGCTGTCCCAGGCTCCCTCTGCCAGCCGCTTGCTTCAGGGCTTCAAAGGAAGGCTCGGCTGCAGTACCCAGCATGCTTTTCTGCGGCTGCCACAGCCCTCTTTTGAAGCACCATGGTAGCCAACAGAGAGGATTCTGTGTTACGTACAGTATGACCCTGGAGGAGCCAGCCAGCTGCTGTGACTCAGCTAAAAACAGGGAACTCGCTGTAAGCAAGAGGGCATAAAGGGGAAGCATGGCTGAGGGGGAGGGAAGCCAGAAAAAAGCAGGAGTAGTTTATGATGTTCAAAGTTTGTCAAAAGGCTCAACACACATTTCTCAAAGAGTTTCCTGCATGGGCCAGAGGAGGTCCATCTCTGCTACTCTGCAGTCTGCCAGGCTTCATAATGTTTTCTATCTAATGGAAACAAGCAGGGCAAGGATTAGGGGAAGATCAAGAAAACAAAACTAAATTCTCTCTCAGTCTTACTACCAGGTCCCCCGAGGAGGAGTAATTGGCTTTTCAGATACAGTTTGTGATCAAACACACAGATGAAAAAAGAAAGAGAAGGCAGGGAGGAAGGCAGGGAGGAAGG